CTCCTCCTCCTCCTCCTCTTTTAATTCTCACAAATTCACAGAAAAATCATAAGAACTCACCTTGATTCTCAGAGTAAATTAATCTAAACCCAAAGTGTCTGTGTGTGTGTGTGTGTGTGTGTGTGTGTGTGTCGTGTGTGTGTGTGTGTGTCTGTGTGTGTGTGTGTGTGTGTCTGTGTGTGTGTGTGTCTGTGTGTGTGTGTCTGTGTGTGTGTGTCTGTGTGTGTGTGTCTGTGTGTGTGTCTGTGTGTGTGTGTGTGTGTGTGTCTGTGTGTGTGTGTGTCTGTGTGTGTGTGTGTGTGTGTGTGTGTGTGTGTCTGTGTGTGTGTGTGTGTGTGTGTGTGTGTGTCTGTGTGTGTGTGTCTGTGTGTGTGTGTGTGTGTGTGTCTGTGTGTGTGTGTGTGTGTGTGTGTCTGTGTGTGTGTGTGTGTCTGTGTGTCTGTGTGTGTGTGTGTGTGTGTGTGTCTGTGTGTGTGTGTGTGTGTGTGTCTGTGTGTGTGTGTGTGTGTCTGTGTGTGTGTGTGTGTGTGTGTGTGTGTGTGTGTGTCTGTGTGTGTGTGTGTGTGTGTGTGTGTGTGTGTGTGTGTGTGTGTGTGTGTCTGTGTGTGTGTGTGTGTGTGTGTGTGTCTGTGTCTGTGTGTGTCTGTGTGTCTGTGTGTGTGTGTGTCTGTGTGTGTGTGTCTGTGTGTCTGTGTGTGTCTGTGTCTGTGTGTGTGTGTCTGTGTGTGTCTGTGTGTGTGTGTGTTCTTCAGCTCAGTGTGACGTCAGGAGTCCCTGCAGTTCTCTGGCCAAGACTCTACACGTGAGTCTCCACATCTGCACTGTTCTAACACACACAAACACACAGACCTGGACTCGTGTTTGTTTCACACGTTTAACTCACAAACCTCGAACTGAAAACGCTCTGTTCCACCTCGTGATGTCGTCTAGAGGCAGTTTTACATCACGAGGTGGAGCAGAGCGTTTGGAGTTTTACAGACTCATCATGAACAGTTCCTCAGACGTGTGTCCAGGTCCGTGTGTTTGTGAGGATGTTTATTTTATTAGACCAGGACTTAAATCTTTTATTATGTTTTTTAAAACTCTGAAATGACAGAGTTTTGTCCTGTTCTTCAGTCCACTCCGCTCCCCGCTCGTCGCCTGGAGCCTAAACTTCTCTCCGAGTCGAGTCTGGAGCCGAAGGACCTGCAGCTGCCCGCGGAGCCTCAGGTCAGACACTGGGGGGCGCTGAGTTTGTTTACAGGCGAAAACTCCAGGTCACTAACGCCGCGCGGCTCCCAGTCGCACCAGGTCGGTTCTTTGAACTTTGACGGATTGAGTCCAGGTCTGGGTCCAGGTCTGGGTCCAGGTCTGGGGGTCTGGGTCCAGGTCTGGGTAATATGACGACTAGTCTAGGGTCAAATAAAAGTCTAGGGTCAAAAATTTTAGTTTTTTGTTTTTATGTCCCGTCCCTCGTCCCTCCCGTCCCGTCCCCTCGTCCTCCAGCGTCTGAGTCCTGGTCTGTCTTGAGTCCCTGATCCTACAAATAATCGGGTTTAACATTTGTGAATCAGTTATTCAACTTAGACTTTAATCTGAGTTTTATTTTAACCCAATCTGACCAGAATGACCTGACTGACCTGAAGTCCACCAGGTGAGAGGATCTGTGCCGTAAAACACGTCTCTCTAAAGAACATCACAGTCACGAGCTCGTGTTGTCTCGGATGAAAGTTCCAATTGGCAAAACGTCTTGAATCTTTTTCGTCCAGTGACATGATTGAATTTCTTTTGTCATGTTTGATGTTTGATGTTTGATGTTTCAGAGTCCTGCGCTGGTGAAGCCTCCCCCCTCCCCTCCCCCCTTCACCACCCCCCCTCCAGACGACCGCTCCCCTCTGCCAACTTCAGCGCCCTGCACACGGTCAGTCCAAACGAACGAACGTCAAGCTCTGTCTGCAGAAACGTCCGCTCTGTCCGCAAAAAACGTCCGCTCTTCGCTCTGTCCGCAGAAACGTCCGCTCTTCGCTCTGTCCGCAGAAACGCCCGCTCTGTCCGCAGAAACGCCTGCTCTTTGCTCTGTCCGCAGAAACCGCTCTTCGCTCTGTCCGCAGAAACCGCTCTTCGCTCTGTCCGCAGAAACGCCCGCTCTTCGCTCTGTCCGCAGAAACGCCCGCTCTTCGCTCTGTCCGCAGAAACGTCCGCTCTTCGCTCTGTCCGCAGAAACGTCCGCTCTGTCCGCAGAAACGCCCGCTCTTCGCTCTGTCCGCAGAAACGCCCGCTCTTCGCTCTGTCCGCAGAAACGCCCGCTCTTCGCTCTGTCCGCAGAAACGCCCGCTCTTCGCTCTGTCCGCAGAAACGTCCGCTCTTCGCTCTGTCCGCAGAAACGCCCGCTCTTCGCTCTGTCCGCAGAAACGCCCGCTCTTCGCTCTGTCCGCAGAAACGTCCGCTCTTCGCTCTGTCCGTAGAAACGTCCGCTCTTCGCTCTGTTCGAAGAAACGTCCGCTCTGTCCGCAGAAACGTCCGCTCTCGCTCTGTCCGCAGAAACGTCCGCTCTTCGCTCTGTCCGCAGAAACGCCGCTCTTCGCTCTGTCCGCAGAAACGCCCGCTCTTCGCTCTGTCCGCAGAAACGCCCGCTCTTCGCTCTGTCCGCAGAAACTCCGCTTCGCTCTGTCCGCAGAAACGCCCGCTCTTCGCTCTCGAAACTCGCTCTGTCCGCAGAAAACGCCCGCTCGCTCTGTCCGCAGAAACCCGCTCTTCGCTCTGTCCGCTCCGCTCCGCAGAAACGCCCGCTCTTCGCTCTGTCCGCAGAAACGTCCGCTCTTCGCTCTGTCCGCAGAAACGCCCGCTCTTCGCTCTGTCTGCAGAAACGTCCGCTCTGTCCGCAGAAACGCTCTCGCTCTGTCCGCAGAAACGTCCGCTCTTCGCTCTGTCCAGAAACGTCGCTCTGTCCGCAGAAACGTCCGCTCTCCGCTCTGTCCGCAGAAACGTCCGCTCTCCGCTCTGTCCGCGAAACTCGCTCTGTCGCAGAAACGCCCGCTCTTCGCTCTGTCCGCAGAAACGCCCGCTCTTCGCTCTGTCAGAAACGCCGCTCTGTCCGCAGAAACGCCCGTCCGCTCTGTCCGCAGAAACGCTCTTCGCTCTGTCCGCAGAAACGCCCGCTCTTCGCTCTGTCCGCAGAAAACTCCGCTCCGCTCTGTCCGCAGAAACGTCCGCTCTTCGCTCTGTCCGCAGAAACGTCCGCTCTTCGCTCTGTCCGCAGAAACGTCCGCTCAAGTACATACAAGTCACATTTAACTGGAAATGTGAACGACCTCGCAAAAGAATCAGAACTGAGCGTTAAGCCCTGCAGTCTGAACGTAGCCCAAGTGTCTCGGGTCGTGTTTGAATAAATCGGACCTGAGGCGAACAGAACCCAAAGAAAAGTGTCGTCACATGTTCCCGAACGTCGAACGGTTTTGTGTCGTAAACGTGAATCGAGCCGTTTGTTGTTTTTCTCTGTAACTGAAGTGTTGTGTCCTGCAGGTGTTTAAGGTGAACCCCACACTGCCCCCTACAGACTTCTCTAAGGCGCCGCAGGAGCTCGGGGCTGGAGTGAGCAGCATCAGCACACAGACGCCCCCGGAGTTCGCCCCCCCGGAGGACGACATGGGTACAACAACAACAACAACAACAACAACAACAACAACAACAACAACGCACAGTATCAAGGGCCGTTCACACCAAAGCGTCAAATCGTCCACTTTCAATGTAAAGTCGATGTGGACGCGCGACTAGAGCGTCCTGCGTTTTTGCGGCGCGTTTTCGGTGTCAGCGGCGAGTCTTGAGCGTTTTGGCGTCAGCGGTCAAGACGTGCGTCCGAGGCGTCGGCGTCAGAAGTTGAAAATGCTGAACTTTTCGCGTCAGACGAGCCGCGTCGACCAATCAGGGACGAGTATCCAGAGACGATATTATCAGGAAGAAAAACCCCAGAACCAGAACCACAAACATGAACGGAGAATAAATATAAACACCACAATCACCGAGACGATCGCGAGGACTACACCAGGACCGGACCAGGACTAAACCAGGACCAGACCAGGACTAAACCAGGACCAGACCAGGACTAGACAAGGACTAAACAGACCGAGACTAGACTGGGATCAAACCAGGACTAGACTGAGACTAAACAAGGACTAGACCCTGAATAGACAGAGATTAAACCCCAACTAGACCGGGACTAGGCCGGGACTAAACCAGGACTAAACCAGGACTAGACCAGGACTGATCCAGTGTCGTTAGTGGAGTATAAATATAAACTCGCTCCAGTCGTCGAGTCGATTTCCTTCGCTGATGTTTTATGTCATAAAAACACTAAAGTCTCTCAGTCTGGTCTGACATTGTTTTCGGGAAAAAGTCCAGGACCGGGCTCATTAGAGTTTTTCAGTGCAGGGTACGACGGACGCGCGTCAAGTATTTTTTGTCCCGTTCGTCCGCGGCGTCAAAGACACGAGCGTCGGGGGCGTCTGAACCTCTAAAAACTGACTAAACCAGGACTCCTAAAAGGACTAAACCAGGACTAAACCAGGACTAAACCAGGACTAAACCAGGACTAAACCAGGACTCTAAACCAGGACTAAACCAGGACTAAACCAGGACTAAACCAGGGACTAAACCAGGACTAAACCAGGACTAAACCAGGACTAACCAGGACTAAACCAGGACTAAACCAGGACTAAACCAGGACTAAACCAGGGACTCTAAACCAGGACTAAACCAGGAAAAAACCAGGGACTAAACCAGGACTAACCAGGGGACTAAACCAGGACTGGACTAAACCAGGACTAAACCAGGACTAAACCAGGACTAACCAGGGACTGGACTAAACCAGGACTCAGGACTGGACTGGGTCAGGACTGGACTTTCAGGACTGGGGAGGTCAGGTCAGGACTCAGGACCAGGAGGACTGGGGTCAGGACTGGGGGTCAGGACTGGGGTCAGGACTGGGGTCAGGAGGTCTGGGGACCAGGACTGGGGACCAGGACTGGGGTCAGGACTGGACCAGGTCTGGACCAGGGTCAGGACTGGGTCAGGACTGGGGCAGGACTGGGGTCAGGACTGGGGTCAGGACTGGGGTCAGGGGTCGGTGGTGGGTCGACTTGTGGAGCGTCAGTTTTCATGATGGGTTTTGTAAATGTTTTCGTTTTCTCTTCAGTTTATGATTACAGCAGCGGCAGCTTCCTGTCTCCCAGCCAATCAGGAGGAAGAGCCGCCCCCAGCCGGCGGCGTGTGCGAGGTACGACCCGAGACCCTGAACATGGACGTTACATTCCTGCTCCAGTTGGGGCTGTTGTGTGGAGTGTAGTTGCCTGACCTCCTCCTGAAAACTCTTCTAACATTCAGAACAAAATAAGTTCTTTTACCAGACTAAGACCCGACTGATTTTTTTTATTGGGTTTGATTTAATACTGATGAAAAGGCTTTGGAGCTGTCGATAGTTGATATAGAAAATGAAGTAAAAATGAACTGTAAGTCTACAACTGATTATAAAATTATTATTTGAATCTAGTGGATTTTATATTGTTTATTTAGGCGACATTTATTGTTGTTCTGCCTCTTTACGTCATATTTAAAAACAGTGGGTCGACCTAATGACATTTTTGCATCACATTCTAACCTGTAAACAAAGTAAACTAGAGCTATCAGCCTTTAGCAGTAAATGTGTGTGCGGCGGTAACTCATATGTGTAAATGTCGATCATTCACACCTCTGTCCATGAGAGTCCAGTAACGACTCCACACACACTAAAGTCACTTCACACTGTGAGAAAAAACAGACGGTTTTTTGTGGAACGAGAAAGAACCTAGAAACTAAAAAGACACAAGCCTTTACCACAAAACAATTCGTCCATCAGAAAAGATGGTAACTGAGTGGTGTCCTCCTGTGCGGGACACTCCGTGTGCCGATCCTCCGTGTGCGGGAAAGTCCGGTTGCGGGACAGCCCTCTGTGGCGGGACTCCTCGTCGAATCTGCGTCTGGGCAGTCGTTCCTCCAGCTGGTGGTTGCGGACAGTCTCGGTGTGCGGTAAACAAGTCCTCTGAGCTTGTAGCAACCTTTACATCGGCGAGACAGTCTCATTACGGATTTGTCCTGGCCGGATGGTTGCAGTCGCGTCGAAGCTTGTAGTCGGGACAGTCCTCGCGTGTGCGCTATGACAGTCCCTTCATGCGTCGTGCGGGACAGGTAGCCTCAGAGGTGTGCGGAGAGGATATCTCTACGATCGTTTTCGGTCTGTGCCCGGGCCAATAGATCAGGTTCACGCTAACGGGGACAGTCACCGATGTGCGGGACGTCCTCGGTCGCGAGGTGGAATCAATCGCTCCGGTAAGCCTCTCGTGTTCTGACGGAGGACTAGATACGCTTCACAAACCTCACTGGGTGGCGGGACAGTCTTCTGGGTTTTCGACCGGATAGACTCTAGCATACAGTGCTCGGTTGCGGGAACAGTCGCGGGATTGAGCAATACTCGGTTCTCGTTGGTTCTCTGTCCGTGAAACAAAATGTCCTCTCGGTCTGCACGGAGACAAGTCCTTTCGAAATCGTGTCTGTGCACAGACTAGTCCTCATCGCAGCTCGATGCGGACAGTGTACTTCTGGGAAGCCAGGGATCTCATCGGGTCGTGCGGGACAGTCCTCGGTCTGCGGAGATACATGGTGTCTTTCGTTGCTCTGCGGGGGACAGTCGTGCTTTGTCTAGGTTAGAGCGACGCGTGAATTACAGTCCTCGGTATCAGTGGCAGTGCTCACACAATGGCCATTGACATGCACTAGCCTAGCACCAGCGACCTCTGCAAATTCAAGGACTGAATGGAATATTTTAGAAAGTGTCTCCACACGTCTCCAACACTTTGGTAACCACGAACTGAATGTGGTCCTATTGTCAAAATAATTCCCAGGTACGCTGTCGCCGACTCTACAGGTCCATCGGTAGAGTTACGCACGGACAACGTCCCTCGGTCGCAGCTATTGACAGCGTCTTTCAAGGTAGATAGCGGGAGACTGGACACCTCTCCGAAGTCTTAACTCAGACAGGAGAAACAAAAGATAAAAACCCGGTCGGACAGTCCGCGCTAGAAAGATCCACCGCCTGTTGCGAGTCGCTCACCAGTCCCACTATTGTTGCGTATAAGAGGTATTTTTTATTTTTTATGTCTGGAGTCTGGAATTTCTTCATAGTAGTACAAGGGGATAGAGATAGGGATAGGTTGAAAAACACATATGGTAAATCTCACAAAGTAGAGGATAGGTTGCGCGACTAATATGTCCCTCCTCTTAGAGATGACATACGCATGAGAAGGTACCACTAGTGTCCCCGGTGTGCGGACGGATCAAAGCTGCCCCGGTCGTGCGGGACAGTCCCCGGTTGGACCGATTGGCTGTTCAGGTTTAGAAACCAAGTCCCAGTGTTGTAAGTTTGTAGCCGGGCGGACTACCAGTACGCTGACCGGTGCAAATCTGCGGTTGGAACTCTCTCCAGTACGCTGCGGGCCTCGTGTTCTGAGAATCCGCGAACCTTGTGAGTCCAAACAACACTCACTAAGGTCTGCGGAGTAGACGCACACAAAGTTTAACTCTACCGCACGCAGTTTCAAATATAATACCTAAACTAAATGTGCATGGGTTACTCTTACTGTTTGAAGCTTCGCTCCATGTCAATGCCCTGATTCCCACGGAGCAGACCTGGAATGCGGTGGACTCGACGTCCACAGCTCGGGTCCTGCGGAGCATTGCCTACCAGCGCGCGGTCTTGCATGGTGACCAATCATTGTCTGCCGCTTAGAGTTCGGAAAGTCCCCTCAGCCATGCACTCAAGCACACCGTGCAGTAGGTGATGCGACAGGTCACGACGTCGATGCTGCAGAGGCAAGGAATGACAAGTAAAGATGTCTGAGTTCGTTGCGAGCGAATATTGGCATATCATTAGAGTCCATCAGTTCGAGATATTATAACGTGTATGTTTCAGATAGTTCGCTATGTGTGACATTAAATTGTCCTCATCATGGTGTGTGTTACTCTCGCGAGGAACCTTGAGTGCCTTACAATAGAATCAGGAAACAGTCCTCGGTGATAAAGCAAAAGAAACGAAGAGACAACACAGTTATCTCGCACCAGGTCGCGGGACAGTCCCGGTCTGCGGGACAGTCCCCGGTCTGCGGGACAGTCTGTGTGAGAATTGTGCGGGACAGTCGAGTCGACTGAGAGCAATACACAGCGAATGACACTTGACGGAATAGTGTAAACCAAGATACCATCCAGAGTCAAACTGACGGGAGCGAGTCCCCGTCTGCGGGACATGGTCACTTCTTGTGTCGAACTGACTGTGAGACTCACGTCCTCATCAGAGCCTGGATGACAGACAACAAAAATCATATGGTTTCCCTGATAATAATAATAATTAAACCAAATCATAATAATACATTGCAAAATATAAATGGCACAAGAAAGACATTTTATGTCTTGTCAATCTGGATAGAAAAGTTTTTGAGTGATAGATGTTCCATAGCTCATCCTCACATCCATATTATATTTAGTCAAAAGATGTAAGATAAAGAGTACAGATACTGGCCTACTCGAGCTCTAGTCGGACGAGAGCCACGATTTCTTGTGTCACATGCCAATGGACGACAGTGCCCTATCTCAGAGGCGTGCCACTTGCAGTGAACTCTATTGGTCTTTGTGGCTCCCGGTCAGCTCCTAGCTTGGGGTTACTAATGATCGTATGTTCATTGCTCTGATTGGGATGTGTTGACGTTGCACAGTCTCAGAGTGTATCTAGCCGGTGTAAGACAGGCTCCTCTGACTTTATACATTACTATAAGCTGTGGCAGATGGCTCTTAAGGTCCATCTCACAGAGTATATCTATGGAGAGACACACGAGTGTGTACTCACTTCTGTATGCGCAGCCGGGGCACTCCACACAGCATGATCTCTCACATGGTGAACTTCTGGTTTAGGTCTCATTGAATGGGGAATAGAATCGGGTACTGTAATGCTCTCAATTCATCCTGCAATGGAATACAATTCTAGTACCAACCGCAGCACTATATTAGATTTCAAAAATCGAAAGCACAAATGCATTTGGTTTTGTGTGATCTCCGATAACTCCACAGTCTTGAATTATTAACAACAAATGACATCTTTATAAAAGAGCGAAAGCCGTCAAAGCAACGCGATAAATCAGGAACAATTTAAGTACTAGATACTATATAAATATAATGGTGTATGAAATAAAACATATACAAAGCATGCATAAGAGAGTGGTAGTGAATTAGAACCATGTTGCATCACAGAATGATCATGATAGACACTAGGAGAAAAAAGGAATCTAATAAATTAATTAAACCCTTTGTAATCGTTACAATAATAACGAAAGGGTGACTAAGCTTCTTATATAGAACACTGTCTCGCGTCTGGAGCGGAGACCCTCCAGGTGTTGATCATAAGCCCAGAGAGCGTGCTAAAATCTGCATAAAGAGATCGAGGGTATCGAGCAGATAAAAGCAGCAGAAGTCGCCTTAAATCTATCGGAGGACAGTCTGACTTTTTTATTTGTCACGGCTTCCCACTAACTATTATAATAAGAACACGCATTTATGGGTGCAGTCAATCAACACCCAGTGTAAATGTTAACTCTGTAAGAGCATTTGTCTCAGGGAATCTCCTCGCGTTCGTAATAATAAATCTGCTCTGATTTAGTTTCTCAATAAGCTCTTCGTTGCCCAATCTTAATGATGCTTTCATTTTTTATAACTCCTTTTACTAGTGTCATGTACTATGAACACTTAAGGCGTTATCCTGAAATCGCGATCCTCTTGTCAAATGCCACTCTATCCTCTGATACCACCCTCAACCAACGAATCAGAGCAAGGAGTATCAACCGCTCCAAGAATTGACCACACTACAAGTTCGATAGAATTAGCATAGAGTGATTGGAAATACTAAATCATAGCGGACAATCTTAATATGCAACCAACTTCATGAAATTGAAGGAAATTCTTTTGGTTTGTTAGCTAGAGATTTTTTTGCCAGGCCACGAGGAGATTTCCCACTTTCTCGTATTCTTTGCACCGGCGAAGAATTGAAAGACTGACACTTCTACACTACCCAGGGTCAGTAACCAAAGTGTGTGTCTGGTGCTGTCGTGTGTGTGCCGAGGATGTGTGTATGGTGTGTGGTTGTGTGTGTCTCGTGTGTGTAGTGGCCAGTTCAAAATATGTATAATTGTAGTGCGTGAATATTATCAATCAAGCACTGTTATGCAAAGTGTGTCCATATGTGTTAAGATCCCATTAAGTTCGTCCATGTGTTGGTCTGCATAGCGTCTTCCAAAGGTCGCTTATTATTACACAAATAGTTGACTGCTTTATGGTGAGTAGATTGTGTGCTCGTAGTACCTTGGAGGTTGTATGTCGCTGTGGTCATTTACACTGGTGTTGATACTTCGTGTGTTTGATTTGTTGTTAGGTGGTCTGTCTTGCTATCTTCGAATTAGTTCGAAAATGCTCTCTGGTTTGTTCACGTTGTGTCTATAATTGTCTATCTGTGTTAGTTGGTAGTTTTACAGTAAACAGCACCTTTTTACCTTTGGTGCGTTTTCAGGTACCGGTGGTATTGGAGGAGGTCTGCGTGGGACAGAATTTTGTGTGTTCAGTCTCTCGTGCTCTACTGCGCCCACTCATAGATGCGATGTGTTGTAGTTGCATTCCCGCTCCCGTCGTCTCGCTCACTCTCAGCTAAAGCGTGGTGGATCGTGTTGTGCTTTCGTTAATAGCCTCTCTATCGTCATGTAGAGTGCTGTGGAGCTCGGGTAAAAGTAACTTGTTGTGTAAATGTGTGATGTGGTGCAATAGATAGGCATTGTTGATGGCACTAAATGTTTTGATGGTTGTGCTGTCCTCCTTGAAATTGTGTGCGTGTGTTTAATGAATACCATAAATAGATAGTGATTTCCAGATTTTACGATATCTATGTGTGTGTGTTGAGTAGGTGCATTACATGGATGCATTTTGTACTATTTTTCCGTTTTTGTAGCCCGTTGCTGATGATTTAGTTTTGCGGGGACATGCAGTTTATCATGTGAATGTCCCTCGATCCGCAATGAAGCCTTCAAATGTGAGTCCTGCACCACATTGTGTTTTTGTGGCTGTGTGTGTGTGTTTCTGTCTGGGTTTCTGTGCTGTGTGCGGCTCCTTAGCTATGTTGATGTGCGTGTTGTCGTTGTCAAAGTAGTGACATAGCAATGAGTGCAATCAGGTCGTTGCGTGTGTGTGTAGTGGTGGATCTCGCAATGTGTGATTTCACATTGAGAGAAGATCTTGGCCTAAATGATGTGCGGGAATCTGTGTGTGTCTGTGTGTGTTGTCTCGTTGTGTGTCTGTGGTTGTTGTTGTTATAACATGTTGTGGATGAAACAAAAGTGATACTACCAGGTGTTGTGTGTGTCGTGTGTGTGTGCTCGTGTGTGTTGCTGTATCTATGTTTTTGTATGTAGAAGTGCGATACACCAAGTAAGTGCTAGCTTGGTGTTTTTTAAAGTGGCTCTCGCTTGATCTAGTCTGTTTGCTGGTCTCCTGTGAGTTATTGCTAAGTATTCGCTGAGTGTCTATAGTTATGTCCTGTACGTGTGTCGTGTTTGTATGATGTTTAGTCGTTAGCATGATGTACAGACAGAAGCTGTGCTGTGTCTCGTGTGTACAATAACATCTGTGTGGGTGTTGATTGTCTCGTGTTGTGTGTGTGTGTGTGATCTCTGCGGTGGTGTGTGCCTTTGTGTGTCTGTTGTGTGTGTTGTGGTGTGTCGTGCGTGTGTCGTGATGGACTATCACACATGGTGTGTGTTGGGAACAGTGATCATTTTCTGTTGAGTCTCTTGTGGTTGTGTTGAGTAGCCGTAGTCTGTGTGTGGATGTGTGTCTTAGAACATTGATAAGTGGCTCACTCAAACCATGTGTGAATGAAACAAAACATAACTCCAGGTGTGTTTTTAATAAGATAACATTATAACATTGCTTAAAGCTCACAAGAGTCAGTTTAGTGTAATAGGACCTTTAAGCTGTTTCCTAGTATTCATTCTGCATAAATAGCTGTTTTTGCATTAAATAGTTTTGAAAGCTTTTGCTACTTCTCCTTTTTATTCAACTAAGTGACTGTCTTTAGTCAAATAATAATTTCTTTTGTCGACTATAGTCCCAGTGTGTACTATACAGAGCAGGAAAAATTTACCCAGAGATTACCCATTTGCGCTGTTTAAAGAGCTTGAGATGTATGACCGCAATTGAAAAATAATACACTACCATGGAAAGATTTGCAATTTTAGTCAGACACTTCCAGATACACACGAGAGATAATCTGCCCTTAAATAAAGACCTGACAGATTTGACAATTTCATTAGAGAAAACAGAGAGCCACCCACACACACCCGCACGCAGTACCCATCCAGAACTCAGACTCCCAGCACCGCACAGGCAGAGGCAGTCAAGCTCTCCGCGGGCTGCCTTCACATCATGGCAGCAACCAGCATGTGGAGAGGAGCTGTGAGCAAAGGAGGACTGACGAAGAGGAGATGCATGGATGCCCCCACAGGACTGTACAGGTACCATAGAGCTACCCGCATTTGATTCTCAGCTCTGTTTTTGGAAGGATTTCTACTCACCGATTCCCTCTTTCATCTTTCCCTTTGAAACTAAAGAAGCCTTAAGGCACGGGACTTGACACATGACGACTGTGAAATTCTAATCCAGGGAGTTATGTTTTTGTTTTTCCCACAGAGAGGACACAAGCACCTTCAGGCACTGATGCACTTGGAATTGGTGCTTAAACTTTTACTGTATATTAGTTATGGCTTACTATTTGTCAATTAAAATGGCTGTAGGCTACCAATTTTTATTGTCTAGACTGGGATTCAGCAGTCTCATTTTGACCCTAAGATAGTTTTACAATATATCTGGGGCAAAAGAAACATACTTTATTACATAATAAATCAGGAATAGTTTAAGTTTAAGTTTATAACCTATTTTTGTCTATTTTTGTCATTTGTGTTCTTCAACTCAAATAAACAGGAAAAATATGACATGATGTGCAGAATACTTTCAGATGAATTTCTCTTTTTATGCAGTTACAAAAACTTTCATTTTGAATAATCAATTTGTGACCCCATTCTAGCGCCTCTTTGTCTCCATGTTTTGTCATTTCATCAAATTCATAAAAATATCATTACCCAGTATCCAGTCATTCTGTGTGGGACTTACAACAAAACACTAGCCAAAAATACTGATATAGTATCATGATCAAGTAGCATAACAAAATGCAGTTGACAAGTACTATTCTTTAAACATGTGATATGTAATGTCAGGTGAAATTTCACAGCATTACAGCGTCATTGGTATTATGGTGCATGTAAGTTAAACTGTATTGAATCACAAAGGACCCTGTGATTGTGAACCTATTGTCTAACCTAATAGATGTAGCAGAAATGTAGGAAAACTGGCTTTGACAACTCCTAAAAATGGACACACTGGCCTAAAAATCCTTTAAAACCTAACTTAACAAGTACTTCTACTTTATCCATTTGCTCTAAAACTTCATACACAAAGTTACCCAAAATGTGCAAATCTCCCCGGGATCGGCTTTGATTAGAAGTTCCCTGACAGTGACTGAATTTTGGGGAAATTTTAATCCATCACCTCATCGGCCTGGTGATCACTTTCATTACGCTTCAACAAAATGAAAAATACCAGATCTCATTTCGGCAGACTCGCACTCACACAGTTAAGAGATTTTGATTGATGGTTGGAATAGCTTCTAGATTCTAGTCCAGAGCGCGTGGAGAGGACATGTCCCTACTGTGCACTTCACGCCGAATATTATTAGACCAAAGTGAGACAGCGCCCAAGGCTACAGCATGGCTCAGGGCGAACCCAGCTTACGCTTTAACACCGCTCCAATTAGCCTCCAGCACTGTGCGGGGCATCTGTTGTTTATTTCTGTTATATGATTAAAACTGTTTATCCAAAGTCAGAGGTGAACCAATTTCACCATAACAATCAAAAGGCAATATTAAAAGGTCATTGANTATTTATTCTCCGTTCATGTTTGTGGTTCTGGTTCTGGGGTTTTTCTTCCTGATAATATCGTCTCTGGATACTCGTCCCTGATTGGTCGACGCGGCTCGTCTGACGCGAAAAGTTCAGCATTTTCAACTTCTGACGCCGACGCCTCGGACGCGCGTCTTGACCGCTGACGCCAAAACGCTCAAGACTCGCCACGTCGACGCCAGATTCGCGCCTCGCTGACGCCGAAAACGCGCCGCAAAAACGCAGGACGCTCTAGTCGCGCGTCCACATCGACTTTACATTGAAAGTGGACGATTTGACGCTTTGGTGTGAACGGGCCTTAATACTGTGCGTTGTTGTAGTTGTTGTTGTAGTACCCATGTCGTCCTCCGGGGGGGCGAACTCCGGGGGCGTCTGTGTGCTGATGCTGCTCACTCCAGCCCCGAGCTCCTGCGGCGCCTTAGAGAAGTCTGTAGGGGGCAGTGTGGGGTTCACCTTAAACACCTGCAGGACACAACACTTCAGCTACAGAGAAAAACAACAAACGGCTCGATTCACGTTTACGACACAAAACCGTTCGACGTTCGGGAACATGTGACGACACTTTTCTTTGGGTTCTGTTCGCCTCAGGTCCGATTTATTCAAACACGACCCGAGACACTTGGGCTACGTTCAGACTGCAGGGCTTAACGCTCAGTTCTGATTCTTTTGCGAGGTCGTTCACATTTCCAGTTTTTAAATGTGACTTGTATGTTTCTACTTGAGCGGACGTTTCTGCGGACAGAGCGGACGTTTCTGCGGACAGAGCGAAGAGCGGACGTTTCTGCGTTTCTGCGGACAGAGCGGAGACGTTTCTGCGGACAGAGCGGACGTTTCTGCGGACAGAGCGAAGAGGGCGTTTCTGCGGACAGAGCGGACGTTTCTTCGAACAGAGCGAAGAGCGGGGCGTTTCTGCGGACAGAGCAGAGAAGAGCGGGCGTTTCTGCGGACAGAGCGGGCGTTTCTGCGACAGACAGAGCGAAGAGCGGGCGTTTCTGCGGAGCAGACGTTTTCTGCGAAGAGCGGGCGTTTTCTGCGGACAGAGCGAAGAGCGGGCGTGTTTCTGCGGACAGAGCGAAGAGCGCGGGTTTCGGGCGTTTCTGCGGACAGAGCGAAGAGCGGGCGTTTTCTAAGAGCGTTTCTGCGGACAGAGCGAAGAGCGGGCGTTTCTGCGGACAGAGCGAAGAGCGGGCGTTTCTTGCGGACAGAGCGAAGAGCGGGCGTTTCTGCGGACAGAGCGAAGAGCGGGCGTTTCTGCGGACAGAGCGGACGTTTCTTGCGGAACAGAGCGAAGAGCGGGCGTTTTCTGCGGACAGAGCGAAAGAGCGGGCGTTTTTTTGCGGACAGAGCGCAGACGTTTCTGCAGACAGAG